TCCATTATAAGGAAAGTTTCTGCAACGTGAAGACAAAAGGCACCAGGCTTTTTCAGCACAGCCTCCAACGTAAAGACAAAAGGCACCAGGCTTTTTTAGCACAACCTCCAACGTTGAGAAGACTTCATGGATCTAAGTGCCTATATAAAGAAGTCCACTCCATCTTCTTTACTAGACGAATTTCTTGCAAAAATCACTTATCAAAGCTAATCTCTCAAAAGCTCTTATATTCTATTTGCTGTAACATTGTTCTTAAACTTAAGAGAAATATCACAGTTGTGATAATAGCTTTTTAGAATCATTCTTACTCTTGTAATAGTTTTACATTGATTGTAAAAGGTTTCCTTAAGAGGATCCAGTTGGGATCAGTAGCTCTTGAGAAGACTAAGAACAGTTGTTCTTAGGTGTTACTATTGTAATCTGTTTGATTAAATAGTGGATTAAGTCCTTGACTGAGAAAGGCAAATGACTCTTGAGAGGGTGGACTGGAGTAGTTGAGTTCAACGAACCAGGATAAAAATAACGGTGTTTGAATCTTTGATTATTTGTCATACTTATTCAACCCCCCCCCCCCTTCTAAGTATTTTCTCACCTTCACCATCTAGTTTCAATATTTTCTAGATATCTTGAACAAAATGTAAGAATCTCTTCAAAACGGTATCCTTCTGCAATAGACCCTTCTGGTTTTGCCTTATTACGTACATGCGATTTAAGTTTTCCCAAGTATCTATTATTGAACCACAATACTATTGGTTAAAAAAAATCTTTCTACTTTCTAAGTTAGTAACAATAAAATAAAATCACATAGTTTACCTTTCAACAGGATACATCCATCGATGATGAACAGGACCTCCAAGTTTAACTTCTTCAACAAGGTGAACAACCAAGTGAACCATAACCGTGAAGAACGAGGGAGGAAATAACATTTCCATGTGGCACAAAGTAAGGACAATTTGGTTTTGCAATTTTTACAATTCTTTAATTTTCAATACCTTGGCACATAATTGTCTAAAGAATGAGCACAACTCAATCAAAATTGTTGAAATCTCATGAGGTAATGTGTTGCGAATGGCTAATGGTAGGAGTTATTCCATTAATATATGACAATCATGACTCTTTATCATTCCATTCACCTTGAGACTTACTAAGTCAATGCATCTAGAAATGTTGCTCGAATAACCATTAGGCACCCTAATATTCCTTAAAGTTGTTAAAAAATTCCTTTTATCTTTACCCATTAAACTAAAGGCTGCCGGAGAAATTCTACCATTTTCATCAGGCCAAAGATCAGGTCTTATACCCATGTTTTGAAGGTCATCTCTAGCTTTAGAATTGTCTTTACTCTTTTGCCTATCATTTAGTAAAGTAAATAGGACATTATCACACACATTTTTCTCAATATGCATTGGATCAAGATTATGGCGCAGAAGATTATCCTTCCAATACGGAAGTTCAAAAAATATGCTCTTTTTTCTCCATTGTTGAGGATGACCTAGTGTAGGATCACACTATGTACTATCACCTTCTATAGGTTGTCCCTCAAATGTTCTTTTTAGCGATTTTTCTTTCACTGGCTTTTTACCAAAGATGACTTCAATATCTTTAACCTGTTCAAAAACTCATGTCCAGATAATGTTCTCGGTGGACTCCGTATTTCTTGTTCACCATTAAAGCGGATCCTGTTCAATCTAAACCTGTGTCTCCAATCAAGGAAACGGCGATGACCCATAAAACACCATTTACGGCTAGCTTTAAGACGGAGAGGTGTAGTTTGAAAGTTACACGATGGGCAAGAAAGCCCTGTGTATGTGTTCCATCCAGAAAGTGCGCCCATACCTAGAAAGTCACTAATCGCCCACATCAAATTTGCATGCAACTTGAACATCTCTTTCTTGAAATAATCGTATGTATCCACACCATTTGTCCATAACTCTTTCAGCTCTTTGACTAAGGGTTGTAAGTAGACATCAATATTATTTCCTAGTGCTTCTTTTCCAGGAATTATCATTGACATTATAAATGATGCATGTTTCATGAAAACCCATGGAGAAGTGTTATATGGAATGAGAACAACTGGCCAAATACTATTGTTTGTACTCATCACACCAAAAGGATTAAAACCATCACTAGCCAATGCAAGACGCACATTTCGCGGATCTGATGAAAACCAAGTATGCGTCAAGTCAAATTTCTTCCAAGCTTCTGAATCTCTAGGATGCCTCAACATTCCATCGTTGTTAGCATCTGTTGCATGCCATCTCATATCCTTGGTCGTCTTTGATGACAAAAATAATCTCTGTAGTCGAGGTTTTAATGGAAAATAACGAAGAACCTTGGCAGGAATTTTTTTCTTTTTCTTGTTAACAAAGACCGCTTCATTTGTTTTCCATTTTGAAGTCTCCCTTTCTTCATCTTCTCCCCAATAAAGCATACAACCGTTTGGACATGCATGTATCTTTACATAATTCAAACCAAGTTTTGTGATTGATTTATTGGCTTCATGGAACGAACCTAGAATGTTTGCATATTCAAATGCATCTTTAATTAACTCTAAAATCATAGCCATTGCCTTCTCACTCAATCCACATAAACACTTTATATGGTACAACTTAACCAAAAAAGATAGTCTTGAATATCGTCTACACCCTTCATACAAAGATTGTTCTCCTTCTCTAGTCAATTCATAGTACTCCTTGACTTCGTTTCTTTCTTGAGTTGCACTTAGCATCACATAATCTTCTTGGCCAATCTCTAAATTTGACACAGATGGTATTTCATTAGCATGATTCATATCAACTCCAAATGCATCATTGATCATGTTATGAATAGGATCTTCGAAAATGATAGTATCTTCAACAATATTTTGAGTAGTACTAGGGGAGATAGTACTAGGTACAACAAAGGACTCTCCATGATGAATCCACATGGTGTATCCCTGCGGAAATGGTGACCACATTAAGTGGTCGAACATGTCACTCCTACTCTTTGATTTTTTGAAACCGCAGTGTTTGCAAGGGCATATTACTACGTCATTTTCTTTTGCACCTTTAAATGCAAAATCAATAAATTCTTTTATCCCTTGCTGATATGCAATCGATGATTGTGGCTTAGTAATCCATGACTTATCCATTTCTTCAAAAAATAGACATAGATAAATACAACAGTAAAGTTCAAAGCAAATCCTATAAAAAAAGCAAACATTCTAAATACAAATATTTACAGCAATAGAATCAGATGCCATTAAAAGATAAAAGTTACACTCTAGCCTCATAATCACAAACTAACCAAAATGAACCCAAGACATACATTTAATTTTAAACAGGATATCAATGTAAGTAGTGAAGAAAACCTTTCAAGTGTGATTACAGCATGTGGTGCTCTTTGGTATGTAAAATTTATCCACTTCTCTTAATCTATGATGAAGTAAAGTATTAGCTTTGTTCTATTATAGTATTGGTGATAAAGGAATCTACTCACTCGTATTATGAGCCCATTGGTGTTTCCATTTTTTAATTAATTGTTGTTGGCGTTCTAGTTAATACTTAGGCAGAAAATATATTTTTTTTCAAAATGGACAGGGATTGAAACATTTCCAGATTCGATTATCTTCCTGTAGGATTGTTGGCAATGTTGCAAAAAGGAAAGAAAAAGTATCTCCTAAATATATTGCATGTCTGGTTACTATGATCACATATGGTAATTAACAAGGATCAAATGACATCATGATATTCTATTATAAATCACATCCATAGCAAAACCACTGACTTCTAAGCCTTATAATTTCTTAGCCTTTCTCTTTGGTTCTCTCTCGTCACCTACACTTATATACCTTCATCTGTTTTTTCTCTTTACCTTAACTTTAATATGATTTGGTCCTAACAAAATCGTATCAGTGACATTAGGAAGCCAAACAAATCATTTGGCATTGCTTAAATTCAAAGCACCGATAACCAATGATCCATATACAACTCTTGAATCTTGGAATTCTTCCATCCATTTCTGCAAGTGGTTTGGAATCAAATGCAGCCCCATGCATCAAAGAGTTATAGAGTTGAACATGATGTCTATTGGTTTCATGTGGTGTGATATTCAACATAATGATGTTAGACTAATTGTATGGCATATTTTGTGATATATCTTGGAGATGTCATTACGGATAACAATATTATGATTGCAAATGCAAGTTTGTATTGGGATCAAGCAACTTCGCCAGCAAGAAATAAGGGCATACCTTGGGCAAGTGTGTTTGGAAACCATGACGAAAATAAAAATGAAGGCTAATAATACCTTCTACACACAGTAAATAAAAGAAAATAGCAATGAAGATTATAAACCTTCTAGAAACATGAACAATAAATAAACGAAAACGATGTGTTTAAGCCATCAAGGCAACACTTATTTTATTTAAAAGAGACAAACATAAAGACACAAAAGCTACTCTTTTTCATCTTCATCTTTCCAACACTTGAGTGTTGATCTAGGCGAGCCACAGTCCGAAGTCTTGAGAAATTTTTGGTAGACAACAGATCCACCCATTCCAAGCGCTTGGTGGCTCTTCTCTCCACAACAGTATCCCTTAACATCCAACAAACACCCCTGCTCAAATGACTTGCTTGCATTGTCCACATGAACAGCTACAGAAAACTTAGTTGGTTTGAAACAAGCTAGCACACTCATCACCATTCCATTCAGATTTATTGCCTTTAAATCGTATCCTGCAGTCTCAAAGCTTGCATAACTGAAACCATCTTCTGGGGTAATATGAATTGTAGATACAGCAGGCCCCTCAACAGAATTCATTGAATAACCACAAGGTTCAAAATCAAAGTCACAAATTTCAGAATTTGGAAGAATTTTCCTAATGCCAGAGTTGATGGTCATCTCGGCAGCTGAACCTGTTTGTTCTTTGAAGAAAACGGAGGCTTTCTCTCTATCTAAGCCGATCATACACATCTCGAGTGTGTAGCTTTAGAGGAACAGGAATATTGGAGTTGATGAAAAATAAGATCAAACACAATGCATCATTTTCTAGATATGGTCCAAGAAACCTTTGGCCGAGTGTATCAAATTATGTTGTTCAGGTTTCGGTGTCAGATGATCTGCAATCATTGCTGGCTTTCCTATACTTCCTAGATTCTGGTGGTGGTTCTTATTCAGAAGTCATATCTACTGGCCAGGCAGAATGGTTTCTGCAGAAATCTAAAGAAATTAACTCTGACTCTAGGTTGACTAAGAAAGCATTACATAAAAATAGAACCTTACTCTGGAAATAAACTTATCCAATTAATATCTTCGAAACATTTTATTTGTTATAGATGAGAGTAACTTTGTTGATTTCTAAATTTAAGTTTGTGAAGTAAAATATGTTGAAAATAGGTGATAGAAGTTTCTTTCTTATTTTGTTATCTTGGTAACAATATGTTTTGTATGGCAGGGTTCCTGAGATTATTTTCTGGCATATACCAAGTAAGGCCTATAAGACTGTGGCTCCGAAGTTTGGCATTCGAAAGCCTTGTGTTGGTTCGATCAACAAGGAAAAAGTTGCAGCTCAAGAAGCTGAAACGGGGATCATGGATCTTCTTGTGAAAAGAACCTCTGTCAAGGTAAGGCCAAAGCCTTGTGTTGGTTCCCTTTGTTTAATCATTATTTAAATTTGTGGCTTTTTTATTTTTATATTTTGTGACAAGATGAGAAACTGTCAACAGGATGGGTTTATCAATTAAGGTGTTTGTTTCCCTTTAATAATGGCATGGCAGGCAATATTTGTTGGGCACAACCATGGATTGGATTGGTGTTGCCCATACAAGAAACTATGGCTATGCTATGATAGGCACACTGGCTATGGAGGATATGGTGATTGGCCTAGAGGAGCTCGAATTTTAGAGATCACTGACAAACCTTTTTCTATACGACCTTGGATAAGGATGGAGGATGGCAATGTGCACAGCGAAGTTGTCTTGAGCTGAAACTTGAAAGTTTATTGCTGCAAGTTTTGTAAAATCTCGCAAAATACTTAATTGCAACTGTCATAACTTATTACAAGATTGTTAAGAACAAAAAGTTGTTGAGAATTGTAATTAATGAATGATTTTAGGATTGTGTAAAATCATTCAAAATGACCATAACCTTTACCAGCTTGAAGAAGATTGTGGATAGAGAAAGTAAAAAAGATAACACAGTCATAAAAGAGAATAGAAATAACAACAAAAAAACAGAACATGGTTCAGGAAATGCTGCAGCAAGGGGTCATTCAACCCAACATTAGTCCATTCTCATCACCAATTATTTTAGTGAAAAAGAAAGATGGAACTTGAAGGTTATGTTTGGAATCAGCAAGCAGATACTGCTTTTCAGAAATTAAAGTTAGCAATCACTTCTGCACCAGTGTTGGTTTTACCAAATTTTCAGAAACCTTTTGAATTGGAAACTGACGCATTGAGTATTGGAGTTGGTGCAGTACTACAGCAAGATGGCCACCCTATTGCATATTTTTCAAAAAAATTAGTGCCTAAAAATTAGAAGACTGCTTACTTCAGGGAAATGCTAGCTATCTCTGAAGCTATTGCCAAATTCAGATTATCTCACAAAACGCAGATATTAGGTACTTGAAACAGTTTGAACTTAACGGTGACACTTCTCCTATCTTGTCCGCTCATCCAAAAAAGGTTTTGCACTCTGGTGAAGGTTCAATACATGCTCTGAAGTAGAGAGTAAATCTTGTTGCTTGGGCGAATGATGCAGGAGTGAAGGTGTATGATACTGCCAATAATCGGAGAATAACATTTATCGAAGCTAAGATTGATACTGAAAATGCCCAAAAGCCCAACTTCCAACACCTACATTATTTTTGGTGAAGCTAAGATTGAGGACTTGAGTTCATAGCTACCAACTCAGGCATCTGAACAATTCAAAGCTCCTAATTTGAGAAATGTTTGAGGGAAGCCAAAATCCTCTGGTATTTCTCCAGAAGAGGAAGATGTAGGCGAGACTGATGTTGATCCCAAGGATATCGAGTTAGTGGTGACTCAAGCTAGTGTGCCAAGATCAAGAGCTATTGATGCTCTCAAAGTTGCCAATGGAGACATTGTTGCTGCCATTATGGAGCTTACTACTTAATGCTTAGAATTGGCAATGTTTTGTTTTGTAGAGCTTACTGTTGCACCCCAAAATTTGCCCTCACAATACAAGACTTTGTGTTCCAAGAAGGTTCACAAGGTTCACAAAATTCACAATTGGTCAGAAGAGTTGACAATTCCCTCAGACAATGCACCTCCTAAGCAGTGCATCCAAAACTAGGGTTTTGACTTTAATCAGGCTAAATGGACTTCCAAGACTTCAAGTGAGCTTCATAACATCTTATATGTGTATAAGAACCCCCATGTCAAGTTTCAAGACTTTTCTCAAAAGTTTGCTCAGTCAGATGATCAGATAAGTCAAAAGCAGTCAATGCAGTTAAAAGGTCAAACTGAGGTCAACTATGGTCAAACCAAAGTCAAACTTCATGATTTTTTTTTTTTTTTGCCAACATCAAAGAGAGGTTGGGTGAGAAATATTATCATAATAACTGTAATACCCCAAATTTTGCCCTAAGATTTGTCGTCGCATTTCATTGCATTTAATCAATTACTAACAAATTTGTGTAGTCGTTTGACTTTTTGCAGGTAAATATCATATGGCATGCATTTTTTTTCTAAAAAGTAAAAATGGCACAATTGGCAGGAGGACATGTGTAAGGAGTTATGAGTGTGAGAGGTTGAAAGTTCGAATCTCACCTTTGTCACTTTTTTTTGTTTTTATTATTTTTACTCTAAATTTTTCTATCTTTCATTAAAAAAATAACAAAAATAGTTTTTTATTATTATTTTCGTATTTTAATTAAATCATTTTTTAAAATATTATTTTTTTCACTTTTTTCTAAATTATTCATAAAAATATCCAAAAAATCATAAAATAAAAAATATTGAAAAAATTTTGTTCTTTTTATAATATTTTTTATTTTAGGAATCAATAGGATTATTAGTTTTTATTTTAAGTTTATTTTAATTATTTTAAATTATTTAAATTTTATTTTTTCTTAACTAATTATTTAGTTTGGGCTTTAAAATGGGCTTTAGGGACATTATTGACAATTTGGTGTTAACCCTAATTTGTTCCCTATATATACATGTGTTGCCTTGTTGGAAAAAAGGGGAGAATGAAAAAAAACCTAAGAGGAGTGAGTGCCGTTTGCCGTTATTTAGTTTTCTTCTTCATCCATTACTATTGTTTCTTTTTCTTCATCGTTTACCGTTATTTCTTTTCCTTCATCTATTACTGTTGTTTCTTTTTCTTCATCTTTTACCGTTATTTCTTTTTCTTCATCTTTTACCGTTATTTCTTTTTCTTCATCTATTACCGTTATTTCTTTTTCTTTATCTATTACTGTTACGTTTATATATATATAATTTTTAAATTGTTAGAGTTTATATATATAAGATTTTTGATCGAATTATGTCGATACGATGTTTGCACATTTGTGTGCATGACGCGTGACATTTGTGTTAGTTCGATCTGGTTGCGATGATCGCATTTTTGTGTGAGCAATAATACTATTTTTTGCTTAATTTCTTTTTCTTTGCGATAAATTTTGTTTCGTCCGATTTAGATCTGGTTGCGATGAGCGCATTTCTGCGTTAGCAACATTGTTGGGTTATTTGGCACATTTAAAATTCATCATTGCTTTATTATTATTATTATTATTATTATTATTATTATTATTATTATTATCATTATTTATTATTATTATCATTATTATCATTATTATTACCATTATTATTATTATTGTTATCATTAATTTATTAAAATTTGTTATAATATAAAAATCTGTTTTTTTAAAATAAATAACATTAACATCTTTTCCAAATTAATATGAAAACCTATTATTTTTAAGAAAAAACTTTTTTTTAGATAAATTTAAAATAATAACTAAAATCTTTTTTTTTAAATAATAACTAGAACCGTTATTTATTTTATTTTATTATTGTTCAATTCAAATTTCATTATCATATTGTATCTGCTCCTCTCATGTAACCTCGCGAACTTAACAATCGCTCTTTAAATTCTGCCTCTAAATTTCTGCTTGCATGGTTTAAATTATGACATTATCTCTCTGTTTGCATGATTCAATTATCTCACGCGTTTACTATTATTTCTGTCACATTGCACACATCCGAAGGTTAGGTCTAACTGTTTGGCCGCCGCGCCAATAGTCCGTAAAACTTCACACAAATCCTCAAAACTACAAACTACAAACCCTAATTTTCACAAATGCCTCGCCGCAGGCAAAATTACAATTTTACCCTTAGCATTAGGTCAAAGAGCCGCCGCGCTCATTTTAGGGTTTCCCGCCGTGGAATCCCTAATTTAACCCTAATTACAACTTAACATTTCAACGTAGAGATTCGGAGTTTCTACACTCCACGTAAGCGTGTCCTTAAGATGCGTTTATTCCCCTTGAGACCTTGACCACAGTCAAGAAGTTTCTAACCTCCCTATTGAGGGGAACTACGATTACTCTGATTCCACTCCCGTAAGGATACGTAGGCACAAGATGCGATGTCTTGCCGAGTAAACTTAGAATTAACCCCCTTTATTATTTATTATTGCTTATTTATATTTTATTTATCTTTGCTATTTAATTATTTTGCTTATTATTTTGTAATTGTTTCTTGGATGTAAAGTTGTTTAATTATTTAATTATTATTATGGTTAGTAATTAGGGAGTGTAATAACATGTATGTAATATTAAAATAAATTTAGATCACTTTTAAATAAAGATAATTAAAATAAACACGTCACACACGTAAGTCGATTTTAATCGCCGTCTCACTTCCTAAGGATATCCCTCAAGTTGCCTACGAATAATGGTTAAGTGGGGTGTATAAAGCGAGTCCCTCAAATAAAAAAATCATCAA